GTGCTGGGTACCTAACAGCAGCAAGCACTTCTAACAGTGGGCCATCTCTCCAGCCACAAGATGTTTACTTTTCATTGATATATAATTATCCATATTTATGGGTCACAGTGTAACGCTTCAATACACTCACTGCGTAATGACTGGTCAGAGCAGGATTAAGAACCTGTCATGTTAGACATTTATCATTTCTTGTGTTGGGAACATTGAAAATCCGCTCTATTAGACATTTTAAAACAACTGCCAGCCATTGTCACTCTACTATGCTGTAAAAGATTGCAATTTACTTCTCCCATTTGTACCCATGTACCCATTAACCGTCCTCTCTCTACCCTCCCTCCTCACATTCTCTTCAGAAACTTTTTATTTTTATTTTTTTATTTATTATTATTATTTTTGTTATATTTTGACAGGGCTTCTCTGTGTAGTCCTGGCTGTTTTGGAAACTCACTCTGTAGACCAGGTTTCCTTGAACTCAGATATCCATCTCTCTGCCTCTAGAGTACTGGGATTAAGTACTGGCGTGCACTTCTGGCAAAACTGCATAATTTAAAAACACAAAATAAAGGGTTTGACTTTTTGTTGTTGCTCAGTAACTCAAAAGGTATTACAATGTTATCCAGGAATGATGACATTGCATTTCTGAGACATCATGTGATATCATCAGATCTGGAGTGTGGAGAGTCCTGGTTTTACTAACTCTTCCTGATGATTTCAAGCCACCCCCAGTAAGAGACTTCCAGAGCTCCCTGATCCAGCCTTGTATGTTCTTAAAAGAAATAACCTGTCTTACTTGGCATAAAAGCCTCCTGTCCCAACACTTGGAAGCTGAGGCAAAGGAATCCCAAACTCAATGCCAATGTAGACTTCAGAGTGAAACTCTGCCTCAAGAAAACAGAAAGACGGCTGGGCACTGGTGGCGCACGCCTTTAATCCCAGCACTTGGGAGGCAGAGGCAGGCGGATCTCTGTGAGTTCGAGGCCAGCCTGGTCTCCAGAATGAGTACCAGGATAGGCTCCAAAGCTACACAGAGAAACTCTGTCTCGAAAAACCAAAGGAAAAAAAGAAAAAGAAGACAAAAAGGCAGCTGCAGACATGGCTCAGTGTGTAAAAGACAGGCAGTACAAGCATGAGGATCTGAGTTTGACTCCCCAGAACCTGTATAAAAGCCTGACTTGCTAACGTATGTCTGTAATCCTCGTGTTCCTAAGGCAAGATGGGAGGCAGAGGCAGGAGACTCCCTGACACTCCTGGATCAAGGCCAGCTGACCTGGCACGCACAGTGGCAAGCAACAGAGACCCCTCTCAAACGAGGTGGAAGATGAACACTGACACCCAAGGTGGTTCCGTGATTTCTATATGTGTGCTGTGACGCATGTGTATTTGCACATACATGAACACACATGTATCACATACACATACGCACAAAATAAAAATAAATGTAAAAATAAAATAAATATCAGTGGGTGTGGTGGCATAAACCTTTAATCCCAGTACTTGCAAAGCAGTGACAGGTGGGTCTCTGAGAGGTCAAGGCTCGTCTAGTACACATAGCAAGGCTAGCCAGGGCTATATATTAAGTCTGTGCCTTAGAAAGAAAGGAAGGACTAAAGAAAGGAGGGAGGGAAGGAGGGAGGGAGGGAGGGAGGAAGAGAGAAGGAAATAAAACCAAAACCAAAACAACAGCAAAAATACATCACATCTCCTTGGCCTCTGTCAAGTTTTCCTGTCATTACCTATTGATCATATTTGACGAGATGATGTCTTCTAGCCCCGACTGGCCTGGATCTGACTATGTAGACCAGTGGCCTCAAACTCACAGATATCCACCTGCCTGTCTCCCAAGTGCCTGGATTAAAGGCGTATGACACCACTGCCCACCAGAGAAGCACTTTTCAAGGTCAGCGAGCTATGGTTTGAAGGGGATCTTTGAAACTGCTCTGCTCATCTTCATTGTCTTTGTTGTTAATTTTTGCAGGAAAAAGTTCCTATAACTGAAGGTCTGGTCATAAGAACTTAAGACAGATGTTGTGCAGAAAAAAGGCAAATAGATGAACTGCTCATTGTCCTTACGGCCAGCTCGATTAAAGAATGAAGCTCTCAGCCGGGCGGTGGTAGCACACGCCTTTAATCCCAGCACCTGAGAGGGAGAGACAGCTGTGAGTTCAAGGCCAGCATGGTCTACAGAGTGAGTTCCAGGACAAAGAAACCCTATCTCAAAAAAAAAAAAAAAAAAAAAAAAAAAAAAAAAAAAAGAAAAGAAAAAAGAAAAAGAAAAAAGGGAATGCAGCTTGTGTGATCAAGGTGTGATTCCTATGAGAGGGAAATGTTTTGGAGAAGTGGTTTTCAACCTATGGGTCACAACCCCTTTGGCAAACTTCTGTCTCCAAAAATATTTACATTACAATGCATAACAATAGCAAAATCACAGTTAGGAAGTAGCAAGTGGAAATAATTTTATGGTTGGGGGTCACCACAGCATGAGGAATTGTGTTAAAGGGCCACAGCATTAAGAAAGCTGAGAACCACACTGCTCTAGAGAGTTTTGTTTTTAAACAATGTACAAGTGATCCCACGGATCACTTTACCAGAGAAGAAGTAACAATTTCATGTTAACAGATGATTGGGGGGGAAAAAAAACCCAAAAAAGGTAGATGTCATATTGACATAAACAAAGCCAGTTTTGATTTCAATTTTTGCTGAGGAGAACATAGGCACAGAAAACTGTATCCATCACAGTGTCAGCTGAGTGGCTCATCACAAACTGAACACACCTGTTGTCCAGGGCCTAGGCTATGCCTGACCCGCTCCTCGTTCTGCCTCACTACTCATCCACTACAGCCACCATTATCCTGATTCTTACATCATTTTGCCTGCTTTTCTGTGCCAATGAAGCAGAATCGTACAGTATGACACTTTTGTACCTCAGGCAGCATCATGTCTGTGAGAGCATCCATACTGTGACATGCAGTTATAGATAGGCCATTATCTGTTTGGGCTGGTATTCCATTGTGCAAATATACCACAGTTTATTTATCCATTGTGCAGCTGATAGACAGCTTCCAATGTGTGCTGTCACAAAGAGCCAGCTGCACGCGTTTTTTACATTGGTTACAGTGTGCTGGGGCCAGGATTTCTAATCTGCGTGAATGCGGCATAGAGCTAAAACCACACAGGCTCTTCAGGGTTCCGATAGCCTTGTCTTCTTGCCCATCTGCTGACAGATGCAGGCCTTACTAAAGGCCACAGCTGCAAAAACCAACTCTTGTTTCCGTGAAGAAAAAAAAAGTTGTGAGGTTTTGTTGTTATTATTTTGAAGATCAGCAATTGGAAACAGAAGTAAGGATTGTATGTATTTGAGCAGCTGGCCTTAGGAATACGGATGAGAGATAACCACATAAGTAATCTTATGGAAGTCAGATATACTCTGGCAACCCTTGGACAAGGCACATGTCCAGGGAAGCAGAAGATGATGGAGCAGAGAGGTGAGATGGTACAGAATAAATTTGACCTGGAGGAAATCAGTCTCTGATTGGAGCAGAACTTTCCATGCTCTGTGAGGTTAAAAATAAGTACAAAGCCAGGGATCCTCAGTGGCAGAGATCACTGGATCCTTGTATCCCTCACTAAATGTGACCAGCAGCTCTTCCCTGAGCCATGCTGGGCCACAGCACACATGTCCCATAATTTTATTCTTCTCATCTATGATGCTTTGGTTTTGCAGCCTCATGGGACCACCAAAATCCATGAGACTGGGAGGGGATAGGCTGCATTGCCCCCAGCCCGCAAATAATGCTATTCACACAGGACAATGCAACATAGGAGAAAGTTCAGTGGTCAGGCTAGAATAGAGGTTCTCAACCTGTGGGTTGTGACCCCTTTGGGATCAAATGACCCTTTCACAGGGGTCACCTAAGACCAAGGGAAACACAGATATTTACATTATTATTCATAACGGTAGCAAAATTGAAGTTATGAAGTAGCAACGAAAATAATTTTATGGTTGGGGGTCACCACAACATGAGGAACTGTATTAAAGGGTTGCAGCATTAAGAAGATTGAAAACCATTAGGCTAGAATGTAGTAAGTTTGAGACAGCCTGGTCTTCACAGTGAGCTCCAGAACAGGCTCCAAAGCTACAGAGAAACCCTGTCTTGAAACCCCCACCCAAAAAATGTGGTGAGTAGGAGAAAAGTGTGGAGATAGGAGAGGTAGGCAACTTTCCTTTGGAAAATGCAAAAGAAAAATAAAGGGAGGGGTTGGGACTACATGGTAAATTCTAAGAAGAAAAGATAAAAGCATTTTTAGATGTAAGTGAAGCAAGTATTCCTTTGCTTATAAATCATCACTGTGATGAGTACATAAGAGGGAGAGGCTTCTAGTTGCAGAAACCTAATCCCAGTCTCTTGGTCAAAGCCCTGCAGGCCTAGGATGAGGCAGAGCACCACAGTGGAGAAGGCAAAATGGAGCACAGCTGCTCATCTTCTGGCTGCTAGGAGGCAGAGAACAGACAAGGAGCGACACCAGTGAGCTGCCTCCTCCCACTGTGCCCTGCCCTCTACTCTCCATCACCTCCCAGTACTGCTCTTCTGTTAGGCAGCCATCAGTGGATCCAATCATTGATCAGGTCAAAGCCCTCATAATCCAATCATCTTTCAACAATTGAATCCAACAGCTGGAGACACATGAGTCTTTGGGATCACTTGATACCCAAACCATAACCTTCCCACTGAATTTGGAATAAAATTTAAGATCTTCCCCATGGCCTCCAAAGCCCTAGAGAAGCCAGACTTTGAGCCCTTTGCCTTACTGACCCATTTGCCTCGAGCCTGTGCCTGTCCCCAGTCCCTGAATCCTTTAGGTTTGTTCCACTTTCAGGACATGTACACCCCAGGAAGATCTGGATTCATCCTCCCTAGATATTACCTAGTTAGAGAGCCTGTTTGCCAGCCCCTTGGTCATTATTACAGAATACTTGGTGTATTTTGCTTTGTAGTACTTACCTACAACTTTATAGTTCTCCCCTAACCGTGTCGTGTGTATACCATTGAGGAGGAAGGCAGCATCCAGGGTCTGAATAGAAGAGCTGATAGGTCTGTGTAAGGACTGGGTCGGGTAGCAGCCCGAGGAGGTGTTTTCCAGGCCTGCATGGATGGTTGTGCTACTCACTGACCCTGGTTGTCCCAGGTGAGGAGACAAGATCAGGAGGGCTTTTCACTCACTGGGAGCTTCTGGGAGGTGCCACAAGCCTGCCAAGCATGCACTGACTGACTGGATCTAGAATTCAGAGAGGTCTTAGTGGCAGGTGTCATATTATATCAACCGCGGGCCCAGCAGGCATGAATGAAGACAGAAGAAGCAATGTGGGCTTTGAGGCAGCAAGTGAGGAACTCCCTGAGGGAAGAGCTGATCAGGGTGAGTGTGACACATGCTCAACCAGGAAGGTAGAGAAACCACACCAGGGGATCACTGGTCCAAAATGCAAGATGGTGTCAGAAGACGTGGAAGTGGGTACTTGGTTCCTAGGATGAACTCGTTAAGAATTCCCACCAAACAGTCTCTCTGGTGCCTGATCCACAGATGTGTGTTGGGTGGATTACAGAAATTCTTTGCTGTCCAAGTGACCTCTTCCATGAACTTTACAACTATAAATTCAGTTGAGCCCATGAGAACTCTTATTCACTACTCCCTCCCATTTTTCAAAGACAGAAACCAAAGCATGGGGAGAGTAAATAATTTTTCCACATCAAAGAGCCAATAGGGAGTGTGGGGGTTTGAACCCAGGCAGTGTGGGTTCCAGAGTTCACAGTTCTTTCACCACACTGTTTTAAGACCCCAATCCCTTTTTCTTCAGGTCATCGGAATTGGTGGCCAATGCCTTTATTCATTGAGCCATCTTGCCAGCCTCTGACTCTTTGACGGCAAACCATCTGCAATTTCCAGACTTCAGGAATCCGAATGGAGGCTGTGGGTGTAAACACACAGAATGAGTCAAACTCCTCTTCTCATCCATTTGGTTAAGGCAATATGCAGTCTTGCTTTGTTTTGGCCTCCTTCATTTCCCCCAAGATTTGCTTTATCATAATCAGGGAAGGTTTCCAAGCTCCAGGATCTTTCCTTTTAGTTTCTGGAGTCAGAGGGTACCAAGCCATCCAGAGATGCCCCTGCCCCCAGTGTGGACAGTGATTCTGAAGCCAGAGCCCATTGGAGCCATTTGGGGCAAGATGGTCTACACAGTCAGCTGCTATCCATATCGATCTGTACAAGATATGCCTCCACACACAAGCTTCTTGACTGGTCTACCCTGAGTCTGTTTTGTTCTGAGCCCAGTAAACCAACACCGTTGGTGACAGGCAGGCTGCACCCATCTCTTTATGACTGTGAGTTCCAGAAGGTGCCACCTTTTAGCATTATTCAAACCATGATGCTTTCCCACAAAATTAATAGCCCACATATATGTCTCTGTTGGCATTCATCTTCAGATCCAAGTGAGCCTTGTTGAAAACCTGCATTAATTTTTTAAAAAATCATAATAGGCAGCCAACTATGTCTTTCACAAAACTGAACCACAGGTTTTTTGTTTGTTTGTTTGTTTTTTTTTTTTGGCTGATAAAATCTCAGCGTGGCCAATTGTGGGATACATTTTAGTTATCTCCTATGCAAATGACACTGCAAGAGTTTTTCGATAAGTTGTGTTTTTGCTATTTTGACCTATAAATATGTTGGAAACACCAACTTATTTTTGCACTAGCTTTTCTGAAAACCTACCAGAACTTTCTCTACTCCAGAAATGACTCGTTTTAAGGTAGAACTTCCTATTTCAGAAACCACACAAATTCCCCTCCCATCCCCCTTTGAACACCTCACCAACCTGAGTGTTTCAGTTGATTCTTGACATCAAACATTATGAAGCCCTGAGGAACTCAGTGACACTGAGGTAAACAGATGCTCCAGGGCTGTTTGTCTTTACTGGAAAGCCATGGACTCAGTTGCAATGAATACCTATCTGGAAAACATAGTTTTGCCTCATGGCAAGCATTGAGAGAAATATGTTTTACCTTGTCATTAGTGTAACATGTGGATTTTGTAGTTAGAAAACAACTTGAGGCTAGGGAGATGGCTCAGTAGGTGAGGGCACTTGTACAAACATGAAGATCTGGCTTCGGATTCTACATGAAAAACCTGATACAGTCGCCCATGAGCCTGTACTCTGGCAGTGTTGTGAGCAGAGACAGGAGGATCCTGGGACTTTGTTGGCCTTCAGGGCAGCTCCAGGTTCAACGAGAGACCATGCCTCAAGGGAATAAGGTGGAGTGACAGAACAAAACATCTGCCCTCCTCTAGCCTCTGTGCTTATGCATGGGTATACAAACCTCATGCACACACATGCAAACACATGCAGAGAGAGAAGAGAGAGAGAGAGAGAGAGAGAGAGAGAGAGAGAGAGAGAGAGAGAGAGAGAGAGGGAGGGAAGAGTCTCCACTCTATACTGCATTCTGCATAAGAAATCTAGCCTTTGGCTGGCTGGCCACTTTCACCAGCTAATTGATTCTGCACTGATTATCCTACTCATTCATTCTTAGCAACTCATGGTAAACCCAGACACAGACCATTCCTCTGAGTCTGTGTCCAAGCTTGGAGTCTGACTTAATGTTCCCAAAGGGCTATTGATGGGGGATGCCCTTCTGTGTATGTTTCTCTTATTGGTTGATGAATAAAACACTGTTTGGCCAATAGAGGCAGGAATATAGGCAGAACTAGGAAATGAGGAGAATTCTGGAACAGGTAGGCAGAGAGAGACTACAAGGAGATGCCATGTAGCAGAGGAAGGAGTAACAGGTCCAGAACCTTCTCCAGTAAGATAAGACCATGTGTAAATACTTAGATTAATAGAAATGGGTTACTAATTAAGACAGAGCTAGCCAATAAGAATCCCTAGCCATCAGCCAACAGTTTAATATTTAATACAGTATTTGTGTGTTTCTTTGGGGCTAAACAGCTGTGGGACCAGGCTGGAGAGAAAAACTCTAGCAACAGGCTATATAGGCAGAACAACCTGGGTACAAGATCTCCCCTTGATTACTGTCTAAGCAGGAGCTTTGGCTTCTCTGCTCCTCCCTCTTTACCAACTAGAGACAGTCACCAAGTTGTATTAACCATGTCTCCTATACACTACTCAATGCAAGGCATTGTGCCTCAGCCTCCACCACCCTTAGCTTCATCACAGTCCCCTAAAGGCTTCCTTTACCTCCATATAAAGGTCTTTAAAAACACACACACAAAAACCCACACATTATAGCTGAGTATGGTAAAAATGGACCCATAACCTCAGCACTCAGGAGGAAGAGGCAGGAGAGTGGCCTCAAGTTCAAGATCAGTTTGGGCTATATATTACTATCATGTCTCAAAAGCAAACAAATTAATAGAAATTGCACAGCATCCTTGTCTAGTTTAAATGCCATCAGTGAGTGCCATCAGTCTCCTGAGGCTCCGAGGCAGCTCTTAGCCTCATGTCTCTCTGCATAACCTTGCACTCTCTGCCTTCCCAGGTTTGTCTCCTATATTCCCACTTGTACCAGCTACCTCCAGAAACCTCCTGGTGTGAAAGCAGCACATATGCTCCCAGGCCTGGGCCTCTGCATTCCTCTCCTCTCTCCACTTTTCACCTAATTCTTGGATTTCATTTTCAATGGCTCCAGTTATAGTTATCTGTAATCATTCCATAGTATATGTAATACTACAGATGTAAATGATTTATGATATTCAAATAATTTTTGTGTAGTTTATTGTTGTGACTATGATTCATTACGAGATATTGATAATCTCTTCCTGTACCTAATTTACAAGTTAAACTTTGGGGCTGGAGAGATGGCTCAGAGGGTAAAAGTACAGCATTGCCCTGGAAGAGGACCAAGTTTGGTTCCCAGCACCCACGAATGACTCACAACCGTCTGCAACTCCAGCTCCAGGGGATCTGACACACTCTTCTGCATGCATGTGTACAAACACACACACACACACACACACACACACACACACACACACACAATTTTTTAAGAGACAGCCTTTATAATTTAAATTTAGCATAGGTACAAGTAAGAGAAAAATGCAGTGTGTTTTGAGTTTTGTGCTATCTGCTTTAAGTTTCTGCAGAGCGTTTAAAACATGCACCTGCTACACATAAGAAGCAATGATGTGTTCCCAGTATAGTTCACAGTCTCTGGAAACATGTTGTGGCCCCATGCCCTGAACCACCAGCCCACTGATGCCTGGGGCTCTCCATTCACCTGTCTTCAGAGCCACTGGAATGTGTCACATGTTTTGTCCTGGATGGAATTTCCCTCTGGTTCTGGGTAAATTTTTAGGTCAAACTCTCACTTTGGGTACTATATTTTGTCCTGCATCTTCAGCTGCATATAGAGTCTGTCACAAAAGAGGCATTAAATAAACTGTTGGTTTAGTGACCAGGTTCAGGCTCAAGGTGGGTTTTTCTGTGTTTTGTTTTGTTTTCTGTTTTGTTTTGTTCGTGGGACAAGGACTCACTGTATAGTCCTGGCTGGATTAGAACTCACTATATAGACCAGGTTGGCCTAGAACTCAAAGATACCTGCTTGCCTCTGCCTCCAGATCTCTGAGCTAAAAGGTATGCACTGCCATACCTGGCTCACCCAAGGTGGCTTTTAATGTACTGGGCCGATCCACACCTCACAAAACATCATTTAGGTTTTTACAGACATTTGATTAAAATTTCAGCCTTAAGATATTGTTAAATCATGCTTTCATGCTGTAGTATAATAGATTCGAACATATCACTTACAATGCATGTAGCACGTTGCAAGCCAGTGGGCATGTTACAAAACGAGCTTGTTGTAAAGACCTTCAGAGATATTGTACAGATCCTGTCATTTTCTGATTACTTACAGAATACTTCAAGGTTTCAAGGCTAGCTATTTTTTTTAATGTCATGGTTTATAGTCCTTTATCTGTGTAAAGGAGGATTTTCTCATTAGAGTGTGACCAAAATAAACTGTAGGAATAATTTGAACCCTGAGGCTGGCTTCAGATAGCAACAGGTCTCATAACCCTTCTGCATTTTTCCATCTATAAAGCAGCCCACAGGTCACACTGTTGGGTTCTATGGTGTGTGAATATGATAAGTTTGAGGTTATAATGGGAATGAATATATGTGTAGTTTGAGGTTATAATGGGAATGAATATATGTGTAAAGTGAACCGTTAGCCATTTGATATTTTTGGGATTTCTGGAATGTTATTTGAAAGACGGGTTGAGCCGTTTCTTTGAAAGTTTCAAAACCACTAGCTGAGAAGGCAATGTCCTAGACCCGAGCTTGCCAGTAATTCAGCAACCAGTGCCTAAGAAAACACGGGAGGCCCAAACAGGAAAAAACACTTCAGCATTTTGCTGAAGAATGGGACAAGAATAGTCTCTGGGTCTCATCCAGACACCCAGATCCCTGACCTCAAAGGTTTGTGGGTTAGCCTAAGTGCTGACTTCGAAATGGTCTTGCCCCTGTTCAGCAGTTGGGGAAGCCCTTGAATAACAGACACAGGTGCCTGAACACTAGAAGCCGAGACGTAGACCTGGACCTTCCTACATTCAGTAACAGTAGAGCTCAGAGCAAGCCAGGTGAAGCTAAATGAAAAGGGGCAGTCCAGGGCTGGGCCGCTCTGTTCAGAACGACGACACGACACAGCACCCCTTCCTCCTCCTACTTCCAGATGCCATGCTCAACATGGGGTTTTGCTTTATGCTTCATGGCTTCCCCTGGTCATGTGACTTCTTCAACAAAGGTAGATTCGATACCAGGCAGGCTCTCTTCTGGTCTTCTTCCTCTTCGCTTCCCCAGACTTTCCCCCACCCTTTAAAAACATTGTCTCTCCCACAATTGATGGGGGAGAGAGAGACATTTCCATCATTGACGTAGAGCCCCTGCTAAGGTGCTCG